GGAGACTTGCAACGGTCTCCAACCCTCCTCCTTTCTCATCCGGGCTTGGGACCGGCCATGGCGGAGTTACGCTTCTATTTATGCGCATTTTGTTGCATTTTTGTTGTTGCAATCCCCGGTTTGCAAATGTGCAATTTATCAATCATTATGAAATCACTAAATTTAGCCTTTAAAATAAATGGTCTGTCCGCAACCGGATAGAATGAGTCGTCATCAAAGCTGACTGACTGATTAAGTAGTATAGCATACCGAGGAAGGAGTATACAGCAATAACATAAATTCAGTTCTAGCTTCTTAGGGTTGTTGTTACTTCTAGTGCAGTAACCAGCGCTTTGCAGCAGGTGCCTTGGAGGTTTCGAAGCATTCAAACATCACGAACCATAGACGTTACGGCTATTCTAAAGCATCAGTATAATGACTACAAATGGAATGCTTAAAATTGCATAAAACAATTCCTTAATAAACAGATCATAAGTTAATATTATCAATCAAATGACCTTAAGTGTACGAACGAAATTCTATAACAGACACGCTCACACAAAATCATGAGTGATAAACAATCGATCGTGTTGTCTCCTGTCCGCTATCTATATGAAAATAGTTCAGGTAGATCCATCTCCTTTGTTGACTAATTGTTACTGCATTAAAAATATGAAGAGTTGCTTCAACGTTGTTATCCACTTCAAGAAATTTTAATTTTTTTAAGGTCCATAATTTAATGGCCTATGATGCAATGCTACAATGAAAGGTACTTTGTTAGTTCTCTTTCAGTAGTAATATTTTAAATTTGTCTGCCTTTGCGGTTATTTCACTGATTTTGCCTAATGATTTATTGTTTTCAAAGCTAATGGTATTGATTAGTGTTCTGGAAAAGTAAACAACAGTCACAGTATGGTAAACTGCTTGATGTCTAAGTTAACTCGCTGCGCACTCCAGGTTTTCGCACCGACGTTACTCGTGGACGTTTGGGTATTGTCGATTGAGTATTTTGTGTTCAACAGGTTGTAGAAGAGTTTTGAAGATGGTAAGAATTTGTATTTTCAGTTATTGGAGTTTCGGTATTTTGAGGGTTCTGTCATGTTTGTATTTTATTTTGTTTGAGCTGATGTTCCTGTGTTAGGATGAATTTTTGTAAATAGTAGACTTCTACCAATGTTGAGTTGTAAACTTTAAGGTTTCATGATCATATTCTATATTTACATTTTATTTGTTGAGAGTCGCCCATTTTCATTTAAATTTCAAATCGTTACCTCGTAACTGTGCATGGGTATTTTGGATCCGAGTACTAACGTTCTACAGTTAACGTTTTTCTCTTGGAAGTTAGAAGGCTTAGCAGATCATACAGGGACAAGCAGCAACTGAATCTTTTATTGAAGAAGGGGGCAGTGCATCACACAGTTGTATCTGTTGAAAATTTAAAATCATGACGGGTGATCAAGATGATTCTTTATATCTGCATGATGTAAAAAATGTTGCATTATTAAAATTGCTGGTCAGAGGTCTGCAGTCTATTGTTCTGAATGGATACTTTTGGAAAAATGAATGCAATTGAATATATGTATAATGTAATTGAAAAATGAATGTAATTCATGCTTCTAAACATAAATCAGTTGCAATTCGGAATAAAAACAAGTAGGAATACTGATTCAAACATTAATTCAATGATTCATTAGCGCTTATCTCTGTTAAATACGCAGTTGTTTTTGTAATGTAAAAAAATGTTGAGAGCTTTTTTGTTGATTGACCAACAAAAGGAAGTAAGGTACTTGAGAAGGGTGTTTAGTAACGCTGTATAATAGTTGTAATTTGCGTGTTACGCTGTTGAATGATATCGTTTTAACAAAGTGAAGAATGAACATCCCTTAAGTTGTCCGTTTGGTTCAATTTCAGATTCCAGTTTCAATAATGTTGTGCATGTGCATCCTGTAGGTTTTTGACATGCTAGCGAGGAAGATTGTTGTGCGTTCCATATAATGCTTGAGAGATTAAACAAAAAATTCTCTATTTTCGATGCTTTGTCTGAACATCATCGATAAATTTAATCTTATTCGCGCAACCACTATAAGGCCTGTAAAAGAAGTGGTTTTATTTCCAAGTGTTGTGCTTTGTAAATGTACTCGTATTAACCCCGATTAAGCATCATAAGGTTGACGACGATTTAAGCGGTGAAGTCATAATATCCCTTTGGTAAATGTTTGACTTTTTAGGTATTGTCAATACTTAATATAAATAGCGGTAGTTCATAACACGTTGATGTCAACATCTAAATGAAGATCTGCTTAAACCGTACGACCCGTGATTTTAAGAATATACCGTTTATGTACAGCTTTTATATGAGCAATGAATTGATGCTTCAGCCATTTGAAGTAAACACGCCAAATATTAGATTAGAAAAGTATTTCCATTTCTATCATATAGTAGCCAGGATCATTAATACAGTTACATTTAAATAAAATGTTTAAAAAGAGCATGCAGTTTCTCTACCAAAATAGTCTCTGAATCTTTCGTTCTTTTTTGTTTCACCCTTTGTTTTCTAGAGATTCTCTGGTGGAAATAATACTCCAGTTAACAGACGCGGAGGCGGCAGAGGATTTGGAGAAGGACGAGGCTCAATGTCAAGTCGTGGCTTTAGTGGAAGTCCACGTTTCCGAGGTGGTGGTAGAGGAGGATTTAAGTCTTTCCGTGGCGGAGGGGATAGCTTTGAACATGGTGGCAGAGGCCGTGGCGGATTCCGCGGTGGGTTTGATCGAGGACGAGGTGGTCGTGGAGGTTTTGGTCGCGGTGGTGGTGGGGGTTTCGACCGTGGAGGTGGCTTCAATCGCGGTCGAGGAGGTTTCCGCGGAAGATCTCGAGGCGGCGGCGATTTCCGTGGTGGACGAGGAAGGCCGTGGGAGAACCGCGGCAGAGAGGAAGAAAATGATGAGGAAAACGGAGAGTCGTTTTCTGAAGACGAACTCGAGGAAGATTCAAGAATGCACCAAAAAAGTGCAAAGCAAATGAAAATGAAGCCACGAGATGAAGAGGTAAATTTATGGCTTATTGAAACAGACTAACCCTTTATCTTAAAGCCGTGCTATTTTAGGAGATGGAGTCTAGCGAAGACGATTTAGAAGATAGCGATGGGAATGAAGAATCAGGCTCAGATTACGACGAAGTTGAGGTTTCTAAACCTGCAAAGAAGCGACAGCTAAAAGCATGTTGATGAGTTTTTCTGTTGCATACTATGACGGCTTTCATTTTAAGAGACCAAGTAAAGCCGAATCTGATGAAGAACTTGACGACGAAAGCGAAGGTTTAGAAGACGAAGAGTTAGAAATGTCAGAAGGCGACAGCAATGAAGGTAGATCACACGCATTAGTACATTTGTTGAAATTGTTCCTGCTTAGATTCTGAGGAGGAGCGTGTCCTGGAAAAGAAAGTCAAAGGTACATTACTTTCTTTTGAGTTGTTTGTTTGAAAGGCTTCACTGATATTCTTTCTTGGTTTGAATCTTTCACGCCATCTTTTGTCAGATCAGCACATTATGTCATGTTATGCTTTAAATCCTAATTTAAATTAATTTATTCAATATCTGAATGTGTGCTACCATTGAATGATTTATAGACACAACTACTTAAGTGTCTTAGCAACGTGGTCGGCCTTCTAACATTTTTGAAAACGGGGCGCGGCCACTGCGTCATTGAAGAACTGCTAATTGTCTAAACGCATTAAACTCGCTGATTTATACTTTCCGCCAAATTAAATTGGAATGTTTAAGGTCGACCTCCACAACTGCAGAAGCAGACGCTCATGAAGAAGGGAAAGGTAACTATCTGTTTGATTTTAAGGATTATTGGAATTTTTAAGTTTCTGTATCCTCTGTGCTCCGATGACAGATGGCATATATGGCAGCTCATGCTGGGACTGTAATCTGTGTTGCGATGCTCATCAGTCTAGAACATTACTTTTAGCCGTTATTCTTATCTGTGTTGCCCAACAACTTACTGTATCCAGCATATCATCTTGATTTATGCATTTGAATCATTACCACAACTTACTAGACTGGGATTCGATCTGTCACCTTGTTGATCCCACTCCTCAAACTATTTAAGAGCAATAAGAGTATCGACATGTAGATATTCTCATTTCATTTAGTTACAATAGTTTTCATGCTAACGTTAGAACAATTGGGATGTCGAAAAATTGTTGCATATCTTTAAACTGATGATATCTTTATAAATTTTTCGTGTAATCCCGTTTTTGTTATAAAGCCTACTTCGTTATTTTGTTTTATTGTCTATGGTACAATGTCATTTCGTTTAGTCTCCTGTTACCAAGCCTGCTGTTGAAAACGAAAGCGACGACGACGATTTGGATTTGGACAGTGAGGAATTAGAATCAGAAGAAGAAGGTAAAAATATCCAACAAATGAAGAACTGTTATGTATTGTGAAACCCTGATTTTCTGTCTAATAATGAGGCTGCTCTCGTTACGCCTTCATTAACGACCGTACTGTACGTATAAATCTGCAGAATGTCTTTAAAGAGAAAAAGGAAAATGCACGAGGAAGTATATAGAAGAGATCACCAAACGATGCTTATGCATTAAGAATAAGGCGATCCTGCTGAATATATATAACACTTAGTGAGTAATTATACTGCATAATTTTTATATAGTATAGTCCGTCAGTTGTATATTTTATATGCAATTTTGCTATGTATTAATATTTAGCTTTAGAGGA